TCGTTGGCGATGTGTATGATGATATATGATGATGATGTTGATGATTATAAAACCTGGGTTCTACGAAGAAGACTAGGGCTATGAAGACGATGATGGTGGTTTGATAATTATGACGAGCATGATGATGGTTTTAATAATTATGGCGAGGTTGGTGATGACCTTAATGGCGATTCTTCATATATTTTTATCTGTTTACAGATATTACATATAGGTAGACACACACGTATATACATACATGTGTATGTATATACATACACAAACAATATATATAGATACAGACATGTATACATATATATATATACAGACATGTTTGTGTATCTTCATATATATCTATATATACGCACCTATAAATATATACACATGCATGTATATACGTATGCGCAATTATGTATACATTTGTATGTGTGTGTAAATGAGTACATACATAGGTACATACATACATATATACATACATACATAGGCAGATACATCCATACATGCATACATACATAAGCACATGCATACACACACAGACACACACACACACACACACATAAACACCTACACATACGAACATACACACCTGCACACCCACACACACATGTACATACATACATACATACATACATATACATGCATACATACAAACATACATACATACACACGTATATACATACATCTAAACCCTAGGCCCTAAACCTAAGGCCCTAAACCCTAGGCCCTAAACGTAAGGCCCTAAACCCTAGGCCCTCATATGCCTCGCCTGGATTGTCCGAGTGTGAGCGCCGAAACCCTAGGCCCTAAACCTAAGGCCCCAAACCCTAGGCCCTCAACCTAAGGCCCCAAACCCTAGGCCCTAAACCCTAGGCCCTTAAAAAAAAAAAAACCTAGGCCCTAAACGCAAGGCCCTAAACCCTAGGCACTAAACCTAAGGCCCCAAACCCTAGGCCCTAAACCTAAGGCCCCAAACCCTAGGCCCTAAACCTAAGGCCCTAAACCCTAGGCCCTAAACCTAAGGCCCCAAACCCTAGGCCCTAAACCCTAGGCCCTAAACCCTAGGCCCTAAACGCAAGGCCCTAAACCCTAGGCACTAAACCTAAGGCCCCAAACCCTAGGCCTTAAACCTAAGGCCCCAAACCCTGGGCCCTAAACCTAAGGCCCTAAACCCTAGGCCCTAAACGTATGGCCTAGGGGAGGGGGGGGGGAAGGGCTGAAAATCGGGCAGCATTTCCTTCCCCCAAGCATGCCGGTAGAAAGGGGAAAAAAAAGAGAAAAAAAAACAAACCTCAACCGAATAAAAGGTAGAAAAAGGTAGAGAAATAGAAAAACGAAGAAATGGGGGATACCGTGTGTGTGTACAAATGAAAAAAAATGGTGTTGGGAACCAGGCATGTCTTGACAGACAGGCAGAAACCGGAAGATTTTGGAAGAAAATTGCAGAATTCCGACGAATCTAGAAGAATTTAGAAAGAATTTAAAAGCATGCAGCAGTCTTACGTAGAACAGGGAAGACTACAAGGCTTGCTCCAGACACTCGCACCAAAAGCATTTGCATGAATTTTGCATAAAAAAACAAAAAATTTCCTCGCTTCGCGAACATCCATATTTGTTTTCAACTCTAGTACTCCACACACACTACAAGGCTTGCTCCAGACGCCAGACACTCGCATCAAAAGCATTTGCATGAATTTTGCATAAAAAAACAAAAAAAATCTTCGCTTCGCGAACATCCATATTTTGTTTTCAACTCTAGTACTCCACACACACTACAAGGCTTGCTCCAGACACTCGCACCAAAAGCATTTGCATGAATTTTGCATAAAAAAAAACAAAAAAATTCCTCGCTTCGCGAACATCCATATTTGTTTTCAACTCTAGTACTCCACACACACTAATTACAAGGCTTGCTCCAGATACTCGCACCAAAAGCATTTGCATGAATTTTGCATAAAAAGAAAAATTCCTCGCTTCGCGAACATCCATATTTGTTTTCAACTCTAGTACTCCACACACACTACAAGGCTTGCTCCAGACACTCGCGCCAAAAGCATTTGCATGAATTTTGCATAAAAATCAAAAAATTTCCTCGCTTCGCGAACATCCATATTTGTTTTCAACTCTAGTACTCCACACACACTAATTACAAGGCTTGCTCCAGACACTCACACCAAAAGCATTTGCATGAATTTTGCATATAAAAACAAAAAATTTCCTCGCTTCGCGAACATCCATATTTGTTTTCAACTCTAGTACTCCACACACACTACAAGGCTTGCCCCAGACACTCGCACCAAAAGCATTTGCATGAATTTTGCATAAAAAAACAAAAAATTTCCTCGCTTCGCGAACATCCATATTTGTTTTCAACTCTAGTACTCCACACACACTACAAGGCTTGCTCCAGACACTCGCACCAAAAGCATTTGCATGAATTATGCATAAAAAACAAAAAATTTCCTCGCTTCGCGAACATCCATATTTGTTTTCAACTCTAGTACTCCACACACACTACAAGGCTTGCTCCAGACACTCGCACCAAAAGCATTTGCATGAATTTTGCATAGAAAACAAAAAAATTTCCTCGCTTCGCGAACATAGCAAAGGGTTTCAATTTTCCACACACATAGTCTATTACTCTGTTACTCCATTACTCTATTATTCTATTACTCTATTACTCAATTACTCTATTACTCAAATACTCTAGTACTCTATTAGTCTATTACTCTATTATTCTATTACTCTATTACTTCACTACTCGATTACTCATATTTGTTTTCAACTCTAGTACTCCCACAAAGTGGGTGTTTTCACCCAAACCCTAAACCCTACACCTTTAGACCCGAACAACCGTAAGCCCTAAACCTTTAAACCCTGAACCTCGGAAGTTGGCACCCTAAACTTTGTGGGCCCCGAAGCTGACCAATACTAGACCTAGAATCTTTAAACCCTAAACCTCGGTGTTCCATTTTGGCAGGTCCTCGAGCCGTGCCAGGAAGCCTTAAACCATGAGCCCTAAACCCTAAACCGTGTTTAAGCTTCAAATTGAAACCCTCACATAATTCGCATTTCTGCCACAATCTTCCAAATAATTTGTTTTTTCTTCAATAATCTTCCAAATAATTCATTTTTCTTCAACAATCTTCCAAATAATTCGTTTTTCTTCAACAATCTTCCAAATAATTCAACAATCTTCTTAAATCTTCGGTAGTGGCTGAGAAGTACCCCTGCTGAGAAGTACCCCTAGGCTCATGAATGAGTAAGGTCCTCGTTCTCACAGCCATTGATGATGCAACATACTTCTTCAGCTTGACCGGGATAGCTATATTTACGAACACTCGAAAACGCTTCCTGTAACTATTTAGCAGTCTTCCCTGAGTCTTGGTACCAGCAACAGCTTGCTGTTCGCAGGCCTTCAGACAGTCACGAACATGCCTGACCTCGAGTTTAGCGCTGAAACACAGGGACAGTCTGAGGGCAAGTCTCCGAATCGGGCACCGAAGCCCCGGCTCCTTCAGAGCCACAGAAATGCAGCTAGCACTCCAGATGACAGGAGCCTGCAGCCTCCACAGCCCCCAAGCCGCGCCTCACGGAAGCAGCGGAGGCCGAGAGCTTGCGTTTTCGCCGTATCGGAGAGGGCTGTTGGAAAGTCTCGACCTAGGACGTGCAGGGAAGTTCCGTGCAGCTGCCGGTCAGCTTCAAGCTCCTTGGCAAGCTCTGTTGCATTCTCCGCCGCCTTGTTTCATTCCTGTGACTGCGATACTCATTATGTTCACATCAGAAAGATGCTGAAACCGATCCATGACAGCATTGATCTCGTAGCTAGCATCGACTGCTAAAGCAGATGAGGGGCATGGTACCCAGGCACACGATAGATGCGGGATATCACGGGATCAAGCATGATCATGAGCACCGACAAACCACCAGCGGTCCTGCGGAAGGGCTTGGCTCCAGTCCATGGAGGATGCTAAGTGGCCCGGTCGGCATCAGGGCTGTGTGTGTGTGTAGTCGCTCACGTCGCAAGGGCCGAAGATACTACAGATTATGCAGTCTACAATCAGGCAAAGTACAGAGCAAGTTGTCGGTGGTTCTTTGCAACACATGCTCGACATGTCTCCAAGTCCGTCTTTGGGTACTGGAAATGGATGTGCGATGACCGTATTTATCGCGTTTGTTGTGCATGTGACCGCAGTGGCTGTAGTGTTCTAAAAGCAGAAAGGCGTTCAGGAATCCTGGAGGGCCTTATGTTGCTGCTTTTGAGGAGTCCGCTTCGGGAGTTCAATCGAATCTTGTTCTTTTTTGTATGCTTTCTGAAGAATGGTACAGGGGCTGCCAAAAAAGGTTTGAAGAATCCCGGATAAGTTTCGAACTGGAGTTCGATGAGCCATTGAGGCATCCGGCTCCTTTCCTGTCGGGCAGGGAGACAGACGAGCGCTACAAGCCTTGTAAAGTGGAGAGAAGCAAGACACGTGCAACAAATGACACTATTGGCCCTGCCTGGTGAGTCCGTCGTCCTGGAGCCGAACATACCTCAACTGTCGTATCAGAACCAGACTATGAGGTTCGTCCTGCCGTACCATGATGCCCTAACATCCCAGTGACTTGACTCGACGCTTGCAGAAGTCTAGGACGTCTAGGATTTGAGGTTCGGAGTTTAGGGCTCAGGCCCCAGGGCGTGTAGTGAATGGCATGTGCATTGTCTCGGGGAATCGATCGGGCTTAGAGACAAGGAGCTGTACCGATAGCTACACTGTTACACACTGGTATAATCGGTCCAGAGTTTCTTCCTTGAGGATGTATGGTGCAGGCTGGATGCAAAAGGATGTATGGTGCCGTGTGGAGTTCAGTTTGTTAGTGGTAAGTTGTGGGCGAAGCACAACATGCCTCGAGCAGAATCACATTTCACTGCGCGGATCGTCGCTTTCGTGGAAGCCCCATCATCGTTTTTGAAGGGCTGTCAGCCGTTTATTTTCCACCAGGACGCGTGGAGACGAGAATCAGAAGTACAATGCTAGCGAGGTTCCATGACTGGTGGCGATTGGGAGTCAGGGCTCCTGTGCTGCGCAAACTGAGAAGAGCAAGTCTTTCCCTTCCTTACATTGCCCAAGGTTCGATTCCTTGGAGCAAATCTTGAGCCTCTTCGTCCGTGCGGGTGAGGCCACCTATACCTGGTTCTGAATGTGGATCCGGCTTCCAGACTTTATGTCAGGCAGCAGCGGTTTCAGCGCAAGCACAGCTGTATTGCATGTTGGTGCACAAGCGGTCCGGCTTGGTAGGAAGCATGCCTCGAAGCACTGAGGTTGTGGTCTTTAGGGGGTTGTATATCTGGACGTGTGGACGCAGGGGTGTTGCAAGATTCCGATCTTGGCCTATCACAAGCACGCAGCAACTTTCGCAGGATAAAACAAATTTGGGCTCTTTACCCGCTAAAACTCTCCCACAGTACAAGCATCGACCCTGTAGCTGACAGAACCCTGTGCATTGCAGATCAGAGGCGTGAATATACTGGTTTGGTCTTATTCAACATGTGCTTTGAGTGGAGCCTGATATCTTCATTTCCTCCATCCCAGAAGCCGGGCACGTCCTCAGGTGGATGATCGCTTTTTCGATGCCGTGGGTGCCACGCTTGCAATTAAACCACATTTGTCCGCTTGCCTGTAAGTTGCTGAGCCATGCGACATGGCGGGGGCTCAGTATGGTCCGCATCATGACAAACCTGAGCATCCGAGGCATCCAGAAGCTGGGCCACCGCCGCATCTTTCAGAAATGGTTCCGCAGCAACTGCAAGTAGAACAACGTTACTCCTTGGTCCCGGGTGGTTTTATTCCTGACCATGGGACGAAGAGGCACCAGACTAAGTCTGCATCTGGAGGGGATTCTCGACTCAGCAGCAATACCGACACGAAACAATTTCGCGAACTGGCCTTCGGGACGAGCACGACTCGGACACTGGTCCATCTTGCCGGTGCATATGCCTGCAGCTGATGTATGCCAGGTTGACATGTTGGTAGCCGGTGGAGGTATTGCCAATTGCGAGATTGGTGGAGTCGAGGATGTGGAGAACCACTCGGAGGTTCGTGGTGTCTCAGCATGCCATGAACTCGATGAGCGATCTTTTCTGAAGCAGTGGCCGCGGATTCATTTCGCAATTGAATGTGCGAACGTTGTCAAAACAATGGAGCCGGCCAGGACAAGTGTAGTCCTGGAGTAGCCCAAGCCTTACACCGAGTCGTTTTTGATTCTTGGGTCGACTTTGCAATACGAGTGGATAGCGAAGTGTGTGCAATGCGGAGGAAGGCACGTCGAGTAGCCACAGCACCATTTTGACAGATAGGGTAGGGTAATTTGCGTTTTTGTACATGTGGGCGAGTGAGATCACGTGAACATTGCAGGCCTTGGGATGCCAAACCTGGGATCTACTCTCGATGCAAGTTTCGGTCCCTCCGGTCTCAAGGATTAAAAGGCCGTCTCTGGTCATCTCCTGAATTTGCGATTACGTGATAGTTCTGGTGTTGCATTCGCTGGCCTGAGGTGCATTCTCCGAATTCTGCGTGATCAGGTTCGAGACACTGACTTAGCGGCAGCCTTATCATGCGGGAACAGGGCATTCGCGCCTGGGCAATGCTGACCTAGGTTTTAATGATTGGCTACTTACAGTTAGAACTATTCTTTGCATGAGGCTCATTGTTCGGATCACTATGCTTGCTGACTCAGCAGTGGAAGCAGTGGTGGTGCGGCATGAACTATCAACACAAGTCGTTCTGTCGCTGCTTTGTCTTTCCATCTTGCCAAGCGCTACTTGTCAGTCGTAGAGGAGGAGAAATACGGGAGTTGAGTTATGTTCAGTCTTGTCACGAGTTCTGCACTTCGTTTTCGTGCGAATCGCACTGCGGTGATATGGCTCGTCTGAATCCCGACGCAATCATGCAGAGCTTTTTCTGTTTACATCACCGCCAGTCTTGTTATTCGTTCTTGTCTTCTGTTCTTCAAGACGCCTGTTCGGAGTGCTGTATTCTCGGTTATCGGCATGGTAGAGTATACCTCTGTTGCAAAATCTTGAGCCACAGTAGCATATGCCTGCACATACTCTTTCGTGGAACGACCATGAACCGATGAACCCGCGAGGTCGGCGTGGTTTGCTTCGGCCCCACTGTTCAAACGATCATTCCGCCCACTCCGAAAGGGCGCCTTGGCCGCAGGGTTTCTATGTTTGCGTCTTGACTTCAACAAGCATCAATCTTGACCGCTGCAGGCCTTACGGGTGTGACTTGTGCCCATCTGGCTGTAGTATGGTGTCGGCAGCAGCAATAGGCGACTAGCCCAAGATTCAATCAGCCCACGACGGATGGAAGCACTATAAGCATCAGAGAGACGCGCCCTGCTTCCCAAAACTTCTGTGGCACAGGGTCGGGGGGCGAATGCTGCAAACCCGCATCGCGAGCTTGCAGCCGGCGACGGCTGGAGGCCAGAGCATACACTTCATGGGCGGGTTCTGGGCTTCAACATGGGGCTTCTGCTGGCAGCTGACTTTGGATGTTGAGGCCTGCAATGTGTGTAACAATGAGAGACACGGGTGAGACTGCTTGTGGGCCACCGTCACCAAGACGTGCTGGCACGAATCTGGAAGCTGATGACACCTGCTAGAGGAGGTTCGCGGCTGAATCCCAGCCATGGAGCTCCGAAAGGGGCTCTGTTTTCTTGCAGTCCGACCTGTTGGGCATAGAAAGTCAGAAAGTCTCTACGAAGCAACTGAATCTACATGATGCATGTATGCGTCATGATGCCGGCATGGAGTCGTGTTCCGCATCGATCACAAAGAAGACACTTCCGAGTTCAACGTCGGTTCTCAGGGAATGTTCGTACTGGCTCCCTAGCGTTCTCCCCTTCCAGCTGTGATGGCATTTTGCAAAGCTCTTCGTTTGGAGTCAGAGCAAGGTACTATGTAAGTATAGCCATGCAGCCACAGCCTTTATGCACGACAATCTCTCTCTCTCTCTCTCTCTCTCTCGCTCTCTCTCTCTCTCTCGATCCTGTGGCTTTATATTATATGCATGTGTAGAGGGTATGTCAACTTCTCCTGAGACAACGGGCATGCAAAGCTTCGCGTGCCTCAGGGACGTGCTTCTACGATGCAGCCATGCGGCCGCGCTTGTGTCTGCCATTGTCATCACCGAGGGCTTCCACGAATGTGAGAACATATTAAATAAGCGGAAAGTGCAGGGCAGGGCTGGCAGTTGATATTTTCTGTGTCGGGATGTGCGCTTGTCATCCGTTTGGCCACATCTACACGTTGGAGATAGCGGCAGTGCAGCCAGATTAGATTCGCAGTGGAAGATGCGCACCCGGAAGAGTTTGCAGCTTGTTGATTGTGCCATCGATAAACCACCTTCTAGTATTTCTTCTCATTCGGCTGCTCCTTTGCAGGATCTGGGACTCTCAGGGCTCCCCTGCCAGAGAAGCTGACCGATGTCCATGTTGCCAAGAAGCTGCAACATGTGCTGGCTAGTGACTTGAGTGCTGATGAGCGTGGTCTGATGGCACAGAAAATCACCACAACAACAACATTGTCCAACAGCATCTCGGGGACGACAACGTAGTGAAGCCCGAATGAAAAGAAGCAGAACTGCAGCTTCCGACAATGAGGAGTACTCGGGGGTGATCTCCCGTTGATTGAAGTATTAGCATCCTTGATCTTTAGATTACTCCCAAATAGGTTTAGCCTCCCTCCTGGAGCCAGGTCTTGGAGTGCCTGAAGATGCTCGGGCAGCCGGAGGCTTAGCATCGCAGCACGATCCTCTTGTGGGCTAATGGCTTCACCCAGACGGGTGTGTAGCCCTTCATGGTAGGACATCCGCAATAACACCCAGTCTCCGAGTAGTGTTCGGTGCTGCATCGTCGAAGCCTCGGCTGCCCAGTTTCGTTGTCTTCTTTTCAGTAACAAACGTGGATGGCCGGATTTCCTTTCCAAGGCCGAACCTGGTGCCTCCAGAGGCGAGGGTTCGAGCGACGATATTTGAGGGCTTGCTTCTTGATTGATATTCTGTTGGTCTTGGCATGCAGCTGACCGAAGCGCATGCGCCTGGCACCTTCTTCTGGATAAGTGCGGGATGCGGATGCAGTGTGGTTTATGCCAGCCTTCATTGCTTAGCATAGTCTAGAAAGCCGCCGATCGGAAAGCGATCGGGCTGTGATGCAGGCCTTACGCTGGCTCGTCTGTTTGACAGATGGCGACGACCTGGGTAGCAGTCGACACCTCAGAATGTGTCTTGCATGCCAGTTGAAATCCAGCTCACAATGCATTCCAGTCGCCCCTCTTGCTTTTCCGCAGGCCGACCGAATCAGCGCGGTCAGTTGGTCTCCCATATGCTGGCATGGGACCCTGGACCTACGAAGTGGAAGCAGAGCGATGTCAGTTGTTTTTGTTCGCCCTTATTCCGGAGACCCGGAATCGAATCGGCGAGCATTTGCCCCTGGATCTCGCCCGGCCTTCTAGTCCTCTCAGGTTTGTGCAGTAATACAGGGCGAGCGGACTGAGCTGCAAGCTTCAAGTTTCTTCCCAGGGAAGTGGCAATGCTCCGGCTGGCTTGAACATGGCCGGCAGCCAAAGAGGTTAATGTTCAGGACCTTCGCGGGGCTGTTTCAGGTACATCAACTTGCAGCAGCTAGCACAGAGTATGTACGAAACAGTCTTAGAGATATGGGGGCCTGTGACAACCACTTCCTCCGATGTTGTGGACGATGTCAACTTTCCTATTGAAGCGCAGGGCAACGCAGATACATGCACACGCTGCTCGTGATATCGCATCCTGTCACGGAAAGTCGCAACCTGCAGTACAAACCTGATCAGCCCTGCACTTGCCTCCAAAGGCCCGAGTACTGGTGCCTCTCCACTATCTATCAAACCATCAAGCTCGAAGAACCCAAGTGAGAGGACTGGGACATGGCCATGGGTTGGTCTCAAGATCGGATAAGGAGCGAAAAGCAGTAGAGATACCTGTCAATTGGCCTACAGACCATATCCTGCCATGATCCACATGCACTCCGTGTTGGAAAAGATCAAGATCCGTCGTCAACATCCGATGCCCTAGCAAAGTTGCATTGTCCAACAGCAGAAGGATATCCAACCAGCGGGCCGAAGCTCTGTATTCAAGACCCTGGAAATACCAACAACTCAAGCGCGACACCCGAGCGAGGTGATGATCACCGTTGGGGCCCTCAAGTCCGAGAACGTTCAGGTTGGCTTTAAATAGCCTGGGGCTTTGGCCGTGGCTTCAGGCTACTTCACTGTGAGGGCAGCAGTATTCACTTAAAGGATAAGAACAACAAGTGCAAGTAGGCATCCTCTCTGCGACAAGCTATCATGAACGGAATTGCACAAGCAGCATGTTACATGGACAAAATCCCGGCGGAGGTATTCCGAGAATTGCTTCCAGCGCTGGGTCACTGTGACTAGACCTCCTGCGCAAGCCATTCCGAGCAGAATCACACGCTCACGGGGGAATCACGCAGCGACTAGAGACTTCTGATAGCCAACATGGCTACCAATTATTTATTGGCGGCTGCCCGACAGTTTGTAGTCAGCATCAGAAAAGTGAACTCAAAGGTAGCCACCGTTGCTGTGGCAAGCTGACCACAGCCAATATAGCTGCACAGACAGGACCAAATGCGCAACACCTCGTTTGATTAAGCAACGGTTGGCATGCATAAGCCAGCGACAGCACCACTATAACCTCGCACGTTGAGGATTTGCAACGGCACTGCTACGAAGTAGTAGCTACATAAGCGCCTTGC